CTGAATGCATATAATTGTAGACCATTACTGAATTTCATTTCTTGCTGGCTGATGGAATATATTATTGTATTAGCTCTTTGGGTGAGTATTAGATATATAATTCGATTATTGAGGAGGACTTGAACAGGATGCAATGCATAAAATTAAAGCGTGACAGGCAGATCCTAAACTTCAGTTTTTGGAACAATTGTTCAGGCCAAGGATTATTGACTTGCACCTATTTGTGACTCTGTATATTGACTTGTACTTGTATGCAGAATCACAAATAGAGGTTCAAATCAATATTTACTCATATTGCATGATGTATTGACTTGCTGCTATAATCAATCAACCCTTCCTCCCTTCGAGATAAAAATAAGATAGATGGTGCAATATGTAGATCTAAGATGGCAGTGATGTACAAAAATATGCATGAAATAGCAGTCCTTTTAAGCTAATTATGTTTTTTAAATCCAAAATTCAAACGATGAGAAATTTCCTACCTGCTCTCGTGAGTGTATGCTTTCCTTCAAGGTTCTCCCCTCCCAACATACGCCCTGAAGTTGTTTGTTCTTCTATGAATACGTGCCCCTTTTTTTCTTGTTTCTTTTCTCTTCCTTTGTTTTCTGGGGGCGGGGGTTCACTTCTCCGATATTAAGGCCTTCCTATCTAATGACCAATCCAAGGACGATGCCATAACTGATTTTGCAGCAGCTGACCAATATCAAGGGCATTCTTCCATAACTTGCCAATAGAATTGCAATACTGTAACTGATTTTGCGTTAGCCAACGGATCTTATTGATTATGTACATAAACCAAGCATCAGAGTCCAATGGCCACCTCCAATAAAGCACTTCTTCCATCTCATATAATATCAGTGTTTCTCTTTATACATTTATATGGTCCTAAGTTTGACTTATATTCCTAAGTGGTAGTTATCCACTCCTTTTTGCCTGCACCTCAGCATTTATTCAGAATAAGGCCATTCTGAGAATGAAATCCTGCCACTCTAAATCTGTAATAAGTGTCAGTCATAGAAGGATGCACTTGAATGGATTTAACAAAAGAACTGGTTTGTCACAATACGAAACAATAGGATCTCATGCAAATCTTTTTCTGATATGTGATCTTCCTACACCATAAATCTTACTTTGTTTCAATAATATGTTTACATTTTTAAATGTTTGTCTTGTAGGAAGTGGATTATTGGGCTGGTTGATTATGAATGTAATTTGTTGAAAAATTTTAAATTAAAATATGGGTTGAGTTTCACTGTTTCAGTAGTATCAATCTCTCTGGTGCTAGTGAAAATATGCAAAGCGATAGTATACATTGGATTTCTTAATTTTGATTGTTGCACCATTGTTATTCTTCTCAGTCGCCTAATATATAATGGATTTTCTTCAGCATGTTGGCGACTGATAATTTACTGCTAATCTTTTAAGCTGTGACGAACTCAGTCCATTTATTTTTATCTGTGGCAGCTTTTCTTAGTCTGATATAATTGAAATATCTGTGCAGGGATATTTCCAGATCCTGTACTCTTGCATCGAGAAATTGCTTGCATTTTTAAATGTGAGGACCTTTGTTCTACCAGCTGCTGACGAGGCAAAGTCGATATGGACAGATAAATTTGGATTTCAGACAATATCACAAGAGCAGGTAAGTTTATTTGGATTGGTAATCAGCAAACTGCCCTAGCCAGTTCCCTAAGAAAAGTAAAAATTGAGAACCTGTTGAGTGCTGTTGCATATTCTGACCTTCCCTCCATTTTCTGTCTTCCCCATATGACAGCTTGACAAGTACAGACAGACCTGTTCGCAAATGGTATCCTTCAAAGGGACATCTATGTTAGGTAAAGCGGTTCCAAAATGTCGGATTATTACTCAAGAAGAAGCTGAACCTGATGTCCCGTTGCAGTGATTGGCAAAATGAAGCCTTTCAAGCCACTATGATTCACTGGCTTCAAGGGATGACGCAAATTTCTTAGTTATTTATTTAAATCCTTAACTGATTTTAAAAGCTGGTTTACAAGTTGCAAATTAGATACAGGTAACAGCTGAAAGGAATAGGAAATACCTTTAGACTTTTGACAATACAAAATGATTTCAGTGTAAAAATGTTGTTGACAGAATGTTTTTGGCTTAATTGCCGTGCCTAGGTTTTCATTCTCCATCCCCCCCCCCCCCCCCCCCCCCCC